ATTAATAAGAAAGTGTAATATAAATATTATTATTATAATTATTTAAATATGTTCTCTGTATTCTACAGTGAGAATGGGAGGATCTTACATTTTATATTTAATTTTTAATTACATTAAATTTTAGCTTCATTCGTTTTAAATATGTTTTAGTTTATTTTATTTTATCCGACAATAAAAGAGTGTTTCCATATTGCGACAGAAACAACGAGGAAACTTTATTTTGATAAACTAATGATTTCTATTTGTACTACTCTTTTGAATAAATGACGAGCGATATAGATTATTATTGAATTATTTTACCTATTTCATTTTAAAACATTTTTATTTTGCCATGTTTTATTTTTTTTCTTTTGGTCACTTGTCAACAAAAACAGTGTTCTCACTCTCATTATTATTATCTGAACAACATTTGTATTTCTCCGGTTATTATATTGGATATTCTCACAGCCGCCCTCTTACAATATAAAGAAAAAGTATTATAAATTAAATTCCATCAAATTTTAATACAACAACTCTCAACTAAACTTGAATAAAGACATAGAATTTTGTCATCTTCATCCAAAGATCGTCGTAATTCTGAGATATCGACCAACAAAATGAGAAAACGGAATTTTTATCACGTTAGTTATGTGCTAAATTGTGATGCGTCCGATCATTTGAAATCTTTTAATATTGTGACTATTGCTTTCATAGGCGCCAACTTAGGTGAGCCAAAGCACTTTCCGCCTCCCAACAATTTTTCAAGAGGACGAAGTATCATTTTACCTCCTTTATAATTTTGACTTAAAAATACACTTTTCAGAAGCATAAGTGTTCATTCCATTTTATTTTAAATTTGTATTTATTCGCAATAAGTGGACGTGGACACCTTTATTTTTGTTTTGTTTGAATGTTCGTCTTGAACAAATAAGTAAAGCGTTCAATCAGTAGCCCATTTTTTAAAACGTTTTTGCAATTCTTTGTGAAAAGAAATTTATTGGATTTAATTGACGGAAGTGTAGCCTCACGTTACTATAACAACAAAGCGTTGAGTTCGATTTAAAAGTGACGGCATATTGTTTTGTACATTTTTTTATCGTTTTATTTTTTTAGCATTGAAATACTCTGTTAACGGATAAAGATGAGTGCTTCTAATAAAAAAATCAAACTAAACTATAAAGAAAGAGTTTGCAAAAGTTTACTAAAATTATTTTGCCTCCAAATAATTTTATAAATTTAGCGCTTATGCTAACGCAAATACTGACATCGTTTCGTCAAAACAGAATTTGTCGTATCAGAGAGGAGATTTGGCAGCAACCGTAAAAGTTGATCAAATTATTAACTTTCGAGAAAATGGTTGAAAAAACGCTTTATAAATATTTTTAATAATAATGATTATTACGATTGTAATCATCTTTAAGAAAGGATGTTAATGTTAACTTTAGTTACATTCAATATTTAAATGAATAAATTTAGTTAATATTATTTAAAAACAACTTTGAGAAACCACCATTCATTCATTCCACTCAGTGTTACGTTGTAACTGCTTGCTGGAAGGAATAAAATAATAAAATGGAAATGCTTCAAGTCGCTGGACCATAATAAGAATTGGATGTTTATGGTGCCTGCTAACATTACTTGAGAGTCAAAGATGCAATGCAGCGTGCACACTTAAAATATTTACATAAAACATTAAATAAACAGAATTAACAAAAAATTAAATATTTAGTTATTTAATTGAAAAACATTTTATTTCAGGAAAGAATGAATTACTAACCACCAAGGTTGTTAACGATATTTCCGAAAAGTACCTATCGGTCATACCGATAGCAAACCGCGCTCAAAAAATATCGTCGCTGCCGATACCGATACAAATTTTCAGAAGTATTGCGGATATTAATAGTAATATTTTAATCGATACATAACGAATACCTGGCCGAAAAAATTGCCTTTAGAAATTTGAATTTAGTTTTGGTGAGAATAGAGAAATTAAAAACCATGAAATTGAAAAATCATTTATCATTTCGCTAAATGATGTTGCGACATTATCAACCCTTTTAACTAAATAAATTGTTAAGCAAATAATGAAACGTTCACAGTTGAAATCACTTAACATAAACTTCGCTATTTGATGATTGAGTTATTCATCCGGACAACTTTTCAAGCCTCACTTGTTGAATTTTCCATTTAGCCAAATTGTAAGATTTTGTGTAACTGTCGAGTTCAGATTAAATATTTTAAATTCATATTAGTGAGTTATTTTAATACGAGAAACGTGCCATGTTTCATATTGTGATTGCGCGTTGACATCGTTCGAACGCAGACTATATAAAAATCAGAGATTATGATACGTCTCTTGAGAGATACTTATTTTGCGATTTTTACGGTTAACGAAATAATAAATACACCCAAATACATATATTATTGCATAAATAAATGCAGGCATGTACTCGATATGTAGGTCTGATATAATAAATAACTTTCCTAACTATAAAATTATAATGTGCATTGAAGGCAAAATTCTTTCCAATAAATTGAGGTGATAATTTTTCTTCTATATGTTGATGCAGTTTTTATGTTAAAATTTTTGTTTTCTGGTTCTACTTCACGGTATCAACATTTGCAGTCATAATGTCACACGCATGTTACATCGAAATTACAAAATATGAAATAAAAATTTAAAGAAATATCTAAAATCAGGTAAATTAAGAAAACAGTTGCAACCGTTGCGTCGTGTTGAATTACTTTTTAAGAAGGTGAAAAATACAAAATGAACAAAAACTTTTAACATAATGAAAACCTCTTTCAGAAAAATAAATAAATGATTATATATATGTATATATATAAATATGTATATATATATTTATATATAAGCAGTTGCAAACAGTTTACAATTTTCAACATTGTTTTTTTGCCTTCTCTATGAAAACAACAACTTTACCATTTAGAATTTCATTAATAAGCAGGCTGGTAACTCCACCCGCTGACTTAACTGGTCGGGTTTGGCCTACATCCGAAGTAGTACACCAGTTTTCCATTGTCCATTCGATGCATTTTTATGCTGAAAGTCGCTTCTCTTAACATGCGCTATAATCCATTTATCCTAGCGGCTTCTAATTGGAGCACCAAACTACCCTTTTGTTGGGTTGCTGACTGGAAATAAGTGGTTTTTTTTAATTTTGAAAATTGTAAATATCCATCTGTTTTTTGAAGATGAAACATACCGAGTGTTTTTATATGAAATATATACAAATCTATTGAATATGGTTGTCACAAGTAGTAACAAAGAATGTTAAAAATATAAAAGTTTTTTCATGTAATTTAAAAGATTAAATATAAAATTTCTGAAAATTTGATTTTTCCTTCCTACCTTCTTTCCGTATTTACAGCACTTTAGTCGCCACTTTGGTGCTATTATGTGCCTCATCTGATTTCTTTTCTACAACTGTTGCCGCAATTATTTTCTAGAGTTTGGAATTTTTTGAGTTGATAAGTTTTTTATACATTTTCGTAATAATTCAATTTTTTAAGGAAGTTTATCAGTTGCCGGATTGTAAAATTCTGGAAGTTTGGCATTAAAATTGAGTTTATTATAATTTTATTTAAAACCGGTCCCGGTTTCAGTTGGAAATTTCATAGCTCATGAAGTCTTGAGAGTAGTTTTTCTTTACAACGTTAGCCTAAACATGTTTCATATTGGATTGGATGGTAAAAGACATTTGTTCTAGGAACCATATCTCTTTTCATAGCTTTCAATTTTTTCATCATTTGAAGTGTTTAGTCTAACATTTGATTTTTTTTGTCATCAGTCAGTGATTAATCTCACACAATTAATCAAGTGATTATCACCAAAAGCTTATAGTAGTTACAAGTCAATCGAATATAAAATAAAAATCTTAATTATCTCGAGTTATGAAATTTTGTGTGCGTGTTTTGTTGTTTTGTGTAACGGGTTTTGGATGTTTTTTCTTCATGCAGACGTGGTTTACATTAAGGCTGTTGAAGGTTTTCTTTTGTTTTATGTGTTTTTCTTTGTGTACAAGCCGTTGTCTCTTTAATTATTCATCGTTCTTTACGTCTTAAAGTATTCTTTTGCTTTTTTGCTTCTTCTACTTGAACTAGCGTTTGCGTTTACGTTATCATGTTACGTTCTCCTTCATTGTGAAATAAAAACAAAAACACATTAATAACATAACAATTTCCATTTGGTGGTGAAATCTATTTTTTTAAATAATTTTCAAGCATGTTACATCGCGTTTATTAAATTGTACTTTATATGAATAATTTTGCGAATTGCATGTGCCAACATTGTGATAACACACAATGTAAAAATAAAGAAATAACAAGAAACAAAAATATTATATAAATAGTTAATCATTACCGTAGTCGTATCAAACAAAATTTTAGGCAGTTCTAAAATGAGCATAACCACAAAAGACTTTCATTCAATGTTTAAAATTTAGTTGTTCATGACGTGATGAAAAATAATTTCGCACATATTATGTATATACAATCCTACCCACTGAAGATATTTTGTTGCATCTATAATAAAAATATTAAGTCCATTTACAAATGTATACACCAAACCTACTGGCGATGTACCAAAGGAACATATAATCCTTTAAGATTATAAACATTATAACGCATTATTATTTTAACAGTACCTATCATTGTTTTTAGTTGAATTTGTAATATTTATAAAAAAGTATATATATATATATATATATATATATATATATATGTATATTAGGGTGGAGCGAATTTATACATAAAAAAATTTTTTTCTTCTTTTTACTTTTCCTGGGGTTGGGAAATATGTCTTTTATCGAGTTATTTCAATGTGTAAATTTTGAATTTTATTGAACATTGTTTTGAGGTTCCTCTCGGCTGGAGACTGTTTATGAATTGCATTTCAAAAGTAAACAAAACAATATCATCAAATTAAACATGTTATTAACTCAAATAAATCATTTAAATCTTGAAAAACAAAACATTAGTGTTTACTAGTTCACATCAAAGACTTAAATAATGAAGTGTTTTTTAGTTTCAAATTTTGGTATATCATTTTGAGGTGCAAGTTTAGTACGAATAAAGCCATCTCTTGCTTTTTCTCCACAAACTGAAAGTGACGCTTCTGTAACTAATTTTATCATTCTTTCTACTGCCTGAGTATGGTAAGGCAACTTCAAAAATTCAATGTTATTAGGAATATCCATTATCATCTGTTCTAAAGCTTCAGTTGTGATATCTTTTGTAAGGGGTGGCTCTGTGATCTCGGTTGCATGCCAATCGATCATGTCGTAATAGTTGATCGCATCAAAGTTTAGCTTTGGAACTTTGAAGACTCGAACAGTATTTAGAGTGGCATCATTAGCTCTGCATTTTAATATCCGCCTTAAAGCTAATTCCCTTATGTGCTTTTGTTCATCAGCCAACATCGATAACAGAATATTTTCCGGGTGAGCAAAATAAGCATTTCTTTG